AAAATCTTTCCAGAGAAAGAATCATTGGCACGTTAGATAGGGGTCTTAGTCGTATATTATAGAGTCTCTGTATAGTGAGTTTAAGCACAACATGTTATATTGTGGAAGCTAGATAGTCTTTGGAAGAGCTGAAGGAACAGAGTGTAAGCAGGACTTGTGGTACTGACTACCCACACCACACCACGGAACCAGGACACTGAAGAAGCTACCAGATCAAGGAGCAGCTGCCACAGCTGGTGGGTCCTGGGCCACCTCAGCTCCTCAGAACAAGCACCAGCCTTGTGTCCTGTTCAACTCCCAACATCATTCAATGCCAAATCAAAGTCCTGCATGAGTTCAGCTGAGTGGCAGAAATTGAGCATACCTGGACCTCCATCTACCATGGGGTCTGGGAAATGCTGGTTCAGTTTCCAGCTTCTGCAGCACAGGACAGCACGTGGGGCTGTAGAAGGGATGGAATAAATCAGTTTAGCACTGTCGGTGAGCTCTTGCTGCATACTCACGAAACATGTCAAGGCCTGATCCTAGACCACAGAATCAAATTTGGGCATGAAAGCCATCCTGAGGGATGTGTGCAGTCATGCTTTATTGAGAAGGTTCTGAAGGTCAACCAACTCACACAGGAAACTGCTGAGAGTGTGACTCTTCTTGTGAAGAGAGTTTGCCACCTGGAACCATAGCATTAACCACCCCATAGCAGACGTCTGTTGTATTCATGGCTGTCCAGCAACTTTTGAGTAGCTTTTCCCATATTTGGGACTATTTGCTTGCAGGGAGTCCTACCTCTCCAATATTAAAGTCAGAATTCAAATTTCCAGACTCCCTTGCAGCTAGGATTCAGGAAATGATCTGAACTCTGACAGTCTGATGTCCCCACTTGAGATCTGATTCGGAAATGGGTGGCATGAAGAAACGGGTAGATCATGGAGCTTCCATGTGTGCTGACATGAATGGCTGCAGAACCTCAGCCTTCAGAGGTGGTGGCGAGGGCTGATTCCCAACTCAGAAGAGGCATTGGCACTGACAGAAGTGGCTGCAACCTCATGCTGGGTCCCTGCTACCCAGTGCTCAGTAGTAGCAGCCACAGCAACACTGGTTTCCCCCTTGGGCTGCTTCTACAGCACAGTTTAGGGTATTGTTCCTGGAAACTTTACCTCATTCCTATTTCTCACCCTCCAAATGATTGTTTATCCTTCAAGATAAAATCCCCTGTCTACAGTACTCAGCCAGAGTGGATCCTGTTGTCAGCAACTAAGAACCCACTTAATGTGCTGGGTGAGCCAGGAACACCTGACTCTGAATCCATGGACTCTCCACCACACTGCAGAGTGAGCCTGGAGCAGAGTCTACCTAGACTTTATCCCCCATTTCCTTCTTGAGTCAGGTGCACACAGGGAGGGTGGGAAAGTGCCCTTTCTCTCTGACTCCACCCATCCCAGGAGCTCCTATAGAACAAGAGTGCTCTTCTTCATTGAATTTTTATAAGCAACACTTGGGGCAGAACAGGTATTCAGTAAATGTTTGGTGAATAAATGAGTGAATGGTTAAGTACACACTGAAGTTATGCCCAGGTGGACCCATAATCCAGACCTGTGATGTTCATTACAGTATCCACTAGGCACACATAGCTACGGAGCACCTGAAATGTGGTTAGTGCAACTAAGGAACAGTATTTTTTTTTTATTTTTTTAAAGATCTTATTTATTCATGAGAGGAGGAGGGGCAGAGGGAGAGGGAGAATGTCAAGCCTGCAGGGCTCAATCCTAGGACCCTGAGATCATGACCTGAGCCAAAATCGAGAGCCAGACACTTCACCGACTGAACCACCCAGATGCCCCTGAATTTTCATTTTCTTTCAATTGATTTAAATTTTAAAATGTATACCTAATTTCATTCTTGGAAAACTTCTAGCTTGTTTAGATTGTTATGTAAGTATGCTTTTTCAGCTGTAAATTTTATGAAAGCTAAATATTGGTCAAATATTTCCAACAAAAATTTAGCACGTTCAATACAAATCGAGATATGCTGTAATTGTAAACTATACCAGATTCCAAATACTTTATGAAAAAAGAATGTAAAATATGCCATTAAGATTTTTATATTGATTACGTGTGGAAATTACAGTATTCTGGACATATATTAACACTGACTTCACCTGTTCCTTTTTACATTTTTTGGGTGTGATCATTAGAAAACACAGAATCAAATATATGGCTTTCATTATATTTCTGTTGGTACACCGCAAATCCATACGTTGGTGTGAGTGTCACTCAGCAGGCAGATGGGGAGCCAAGACTGAATACTGAAGCCTCTAAGCCTACAAACCTAGGCCAACCCTTCCTGCTTATTCCCCTGCCAGCTCTTAAACCCAAGAGAAGGAAGTTTAGGCAGGGGCCCTACAACATGTGTAAGAGCTGAAGTCACAAGTTCGGTGTTTTAGGAACCAGGCAGGTGGCCTACCAAGAAAAGGGCCAGAGGTAAAGTCACTTCATCCGAGGGTGAAGAGTCTGAAGCTAGAGAGGTGGGAGCTGTGCTAATTAGCGCTAGAGCAGAGTTGAGCGCTAAGTCTCCTAACACCCCCAAACACGCCAACCCTCGGCTTTGGATGCTAGCACAATACATGCCAAGCAGGTGTGATTTAAGAAAGGAAGGGTCCACCCTCCAGGGATGGGGCAGTCTGCCATCTACCCCCAAGACTTCCAAGCATTTCTTTCCAGGCACTGAGAGCCCATTCTGAGGAATGAGAGTAGGGGCCAGAAGACATTCGATCCCAGCACAGAAACCCCTGTGGCTTCTATGCCCAATTCCAGAATACCTGAAACTCTTAAAATGATTTGTTCCAGGGTAGGGAAGAACACGAAATAGATGGCTAGTATGGAGAGCAAGGAAGAGACTGGGACTCCAGGAGAGAAAGATGCTCTTAGCAGCCCAATCCTGAGCCAAGTGGGGAAGGCCGAGGCACCAACCAGGAGGGTGGGACACAATGGAAGAGGGAGAAGGTGGAAGGGCCCAACCCTGAAGGCTCACTTCTAACAGAATGGGAAGTGAACCTCCCTGATGTACCAGGCTGAACCCAGACAATTTTCATCCTGGAAGCACAATCTACAAAACGCTTCCCTCCAACCTGCCCCCAGTGCTATAATTTGACCAAATAAAACCATTCATACCCACATCCAAATTTATCAATCTGAGCAAAATACAGTTAGTAACGAAGAAAGGTAATTTTCATATTTTATTATACAATATTGTTTATCATAGAAAAAGCTTTCATATCTTTTAATTACATACAAAAGCAAAGTGTTAGTGTTGCCAGAGAGATTGTTTGCCTGCCCTTAAAAAAAAATTAACAACACCTGTTTGCAAACAAAATATTGCTAGAACTGAGTCAAATCCTTTATTCTCTTTCCAGGCCCCAGCCCACTAATCTCTTTTCTGTACAGAGTCTAACACATAGTAGGGGGTGAATAAATATTCGCTGACTGAATGGCGTGTTCTTTAATCCCCATTGTTTATTTCCTGACCCTAAACTGGATCTCGATTCATGGGCTAAAATCCTCCCCCCTCATTCATAGGGAAGCCCAGTGTCCTTTCACTGACTTTGATACATAACATTGGTTTAGAGACACCTGCCTGAGGGGAATAACTGAGGGTTTCAGAGAGTGAAGGAAACCTTCAAAATCAGGCACTGTGACTCGGTAGAGACAGGAAGATGCTAAGACAGTAACAGAGAGACAGATTCAGGGAGGCAGAGGCTGCAGGAAATGGTGGCAGAAAAATGAAGTCAGAGAGACTGAAAACTCACACAGTTCCAGATAAAGAGTAAAAAGCTTGGGCACGAACATTCATCTTGAAGTTTCTTTTCCATTTTGATGTTTTATGATGGAGATAATCGCAGAGAGAGAGGAACACAAGGCGAGGATGGGAAGACAGAGAGTCAAAGGAAGACAAAGGAGACAGGTGGGCAGCCAGGCATGACTGACCTTGAACCCTGGTCATCCCCTCCCCTCACACCCACCAGGCTGAGCTCCTTAACGCTTCAGCACCCATGCTCACTCTTGGCTCCTACTGTAAGTCCAGCCACCATCCCCTTCTCCCCCCACCCAAAGATGGCTGAACCACTCTTTACATGTCCCTACCCTCTGTCCAACATCCTCCATGAAGCCTTCTCACTGCTCCAGCCCACACTCCGCTGCCTCCCCCCTCAGCATCTGTTCATCCCCTGCCCACATGCCCTAACCACAGGGCACTGCTGTTTTGGAGTTGGCCCTCAGCCCATGAGTGCATCTTGACTCCCAGAAGAGCACTGCGGGTTTGTCAAGCTCCGAGCCCCATCTCCTCTATCCCAGGATTCCCCGTAATACCCAGTCCGATGCTGGGTATCACGAAGCGCTCAGTGAACCCGTGGACTGGCCAGTCCCCAACGAGTGCCAACAGGGCAGGTTCTAGGAAAGAGCTTCCGGGAGGCGGGCCACACCGGACCATCTTCTGGGCTCCTGCGCCCCCTGCCGGCCAGGACAGGATCTGTTCGCAGGACGCTGCGGGTCGCAGTTGTGATCCTGACCCCGGGGAGGCTGGCAGTGGCACCCCGGCTTCACGGTGGCCGCAGGCACCGTCGAAGGGTTCTGATGAAGTCGATGGGCACGGCCAGGAGCACCTGCTGCATTCTTCTTGGGTGTCGGGGCCCCTGGTGCCCAGAGCGCTGCGGACGGCGCCCCGCCCCGCCCGCGGGAGCCCGGGGGGGGGAGGCGGGGGGCGGCGGCGCTCAGAGCTTCTCATCCAGCTCCAGGCCCTGGTTCTCCAGGGCGCCCCCGCGGACTGGCGCCGGGCTGCCACTGCGCGTCCCGCCCAGGTAGTTCTGGATGGCCGAGGCACAGTCCAGCCGCTCCATGACGGTCATGAGGTAGTGCAGCTCCTGCAGGCTGCCGTTCTGCTCCTCGAACAGCTCCAGGATGGCTGCGGCGGGGCTGCGCTGGCAGGACAGGAACCTGGGCGGGATGCGGGCTGGTGGGCGCGCGGTGGCCAGATCCACCCGCTCCCCCAGCGCGGGCCCTCATCCTGCTCTTACCTGCCTTCCAGGGGCCCGCGGTGGTGGGAGGGCCCGGGACCTTGAGACCTGAGATTGTCCTGGCTCAAAGGCTACTTCTCTCTAGACCCCGGTTTCCTCCTCCTTCACCGAGGGCTTGGACAAGAGGGCCTCTAAGGTTGCTTCCAGCTGGGATGGTCTGTAATTGCTCTCTCCTTGTCCCCCACCCCAAACACACTCTCCCCTCCTCCTCCCTCTCCCCCAGGCCACCACACCCTGCCTGCCAGGCAGGAAAGAGTTGTTCTAAATCATGGCTTCACCAGGACCCTCCCCTGCTCAAAAAACTTTCCAGAGCCTCTTTCTGGCACTAGCCAAGCCCATACTCCAGACCCCCAGCTCACCCACAACCTGGTACTTGGTGTTGCCATTTTTTCCTGATCTCTTCTCCCAATCCCATCCTGAACCTTCCTGCGGTGAGCCTATCCCTTTCCCACCTTGCACACACCACACCCACAACCAGCTGTGCTACTCCCTCCCAAGAGAGTCGCCGCTCCCCCCTTCCCTATCACCTCCTCCCTAAAGACCTTTCTAATACCCACTTCCTAGGTGGAGACCATCTGCACCCTCCAGTTCAGACTTCTGGTCAGAGCTACCCCCCACGTCTTCGTTATTCTTGCTCTAGCTGTTTTGTGTCTCTGTTTTCAACTTGCTGGGCAGCATTGGATATACACAATAAGGCACAAGAAGCACTGCCTTTATTGTGTTAGGCTCTCTGGATCCCTTCCCACAGTGTGAGTTCCTGGATGCTCGAACCAGGTCTCATTTATCTTGTATTCCAGTGCTTAGCATAGTTTTCCAGGACATAGTGGATACTTGATAAATGTTTAATAAATAGGTGATTTTTAAAGTCACTCTGCTTTCAGCTGGGTCCAGCTCTACTCCCATCTCCTGGGTGAAGTCCTTCCTGACCACTGCACTCACAGTCTGGGTTCCGGAGCCCAGCTCAGAATTGTTCTCCAACTGATTGCTGTTGACAGAGACCATGGTTACGTTGCCCGCATTATTACTAACACTGATTGAATTAACATACGCCAGGCATTCAACTACATGCTTTATACACATTATCTTATAGTCTGCCTTCTACCCCTCAGGGCACAGCATGTCAAGCACTCAGTATGTACCCAATGACTTACAAGTTAATTGATTCATTTTTAAATATTTATTGAGCACCTACTCATGAGCCAGGCATCATTCTAGGTACTGAGAATACGGTAATAAATAAAAAGATCTGCTCTATTATGGGGAACAGGGTGGGGACTAGCCATTCTCTGACTTTTAAGTTGCTCCCTTGTCTGTGCTGCAGTCCTCAAGGTGTCCCAGGAGGCCCCCTGCCCCAGTCTACCCCCCTCTCCTATCCGCAGACCTCGACCCTTACCGGATTTTCATGCCACAGAGCCCCAGGTGGGAGGCCAGCCGACGCCAGTCATTGCCCGTGATGCTGTTTGGTTCCAACAACATCTGCAGTTGCTCAAAGAGCTCTGGAGGCAGCCTGGGGTGGGGGAGGTGGGGTTCTCAGAGGGGAGGATCAGAGAAACCCAGTCCGTTCCACACACACCCCGAATGGTGTACACGCCCTGCGGGATCCGGGGATGGGAGGGGAAGAATCCCAAACATCGCCTGCCAGCAGCAGCCCAAGTAACCCCACCTCACCTGTTGCATGGGGGTGGCTGAGAGACAGGGGGTGGGGCTGCCCAGGATTCTTCCTCTGATGCCTGGAATCTGAGGATTTCCATGTACTTGGTCTCCAAGCCCTGAGCCAGCAGAGGGTTGGGAACACATTTAGGGATCATGAGACATCCCCTGAGCAAGAAACTGGGGAAGCCACCTCCATTCTTCATATCCTTCAGCCTGTCACCCAGAGCTACTCTACCAGGAGATACAGCCCCGCCCCGCCTAGCACCCCCTCCCCTCTGCTCCCCTGACCCCAGAACTTCCAGCTTTAAGTTTGCCTCCTGAGCTCTTTGGGAGCTGAGACATGAAGCCCAAAGAGGGTGCAGCCTAAGACACCAGGAGAAGTCTGGGTGAGGTCACAGGGCAGGGGAAACAGGGAACTCAGGCACCTCTCTCTCCTTCCCTCCATCCCCTGGTCCCTCCTTGCAGGTGACAACCTGAGAGGTACTGGCCTACTCTCCACTAAGGCGCCACCATGGCTCCCCAAAGACTCTCAACCCTGATGTCTTCAACTCTTCCCCCTTGGTAGAGTGGGATATTTAACTCTCATCCCACCTACTCAAGCCCCCCTCCCTGGCCGCTCTCCACACTGAAGAGACACAACATCATCTCTCAGATGCAGGCAGTCAGCCTCAAAAGAAACCACTTTTCTCTGACATCCAAGTTCCTCTGGGCTAAGAGGAGGGCTTAATCTAGGGTTTGGGTTCTTTTACTCTCCTACTGGATTCATCCATGGATAGACAAGAGTGAGTCAGGGATGAAGGGTAACTTGGAGGCCAGGTGGTCTCAGCCCCTGGAAGAATGCCATCCACCTGCTTGATTATGTAACTGGGGCCAGACTTACTGGGCACCAGACCCCTGGCCCACTTTGCCCGGGGCTCCCCCAAGCCCTGCCCTTCCTTTGCCCCTCAGCTCCAACTCACATCCTGGAAGGTGTGCATGGTGACGATGATCTCACTGGTAAGTGCGGAGCAGTCCTCATTCTCATTGGCTACAAAGGGGAGAGGACGTAGCAGGTAAGAGAGGGCAAGGCCTGGCAAAAGGGAGCAGGAGAAGTGAAGGGGACCCCACAGGCAGGCCTTTCGAAATGTGAAGACACTGGGCAGGACGCTCCATCTTGCTCTCTACAAAGATCAGTTGTGGCTCCTCGCCTTTTAGAGGAATGAGGAGGCGGGTGAGGAGGGGTTGGGGTTGGGAAGAAGGAGACAGGGGAGAAGGTGGACCAGATCCCCTGAACTACCTGCTTTTCTCCGGAAGCAGAAGGAGCGGAAGGGGCACTTTCCATGCCAGATGTGGAGATGGGGAACCAGCTGGCAACTGCTCTCATCCACATTCTCCCAACCTGGGGAGGAGGCAGAGCGGAGGGCCTCAGAAAGGGGTGTCTTCCACAAGTATTTGAGGAGGCCGACTCTGTGGCAGGTGTCCTGCAGGGTGCTGTGGGGAGGGATGAGGCAGGAGCGAAAGCAGGAGGGTGTTTCGAGTGGATGGGAGTCCTCAGAGCCTGGAGAGGGACCCTGTGAGCAGCCTTCTCCTAGCCCCACACACCTCCGACACACACAGCACACAGGCCTCCCACCTCCCATCCACGACCCCCAGAAGCAGCCACGCATCTGGGCCCTGTCCGTGAACCACACAGATGTCCTCAGCCCCGTGAGCAAGGGCAGCGGCCCATGCCACAAAGGAAGGGGGACAGAGACGACTGGGACTCCTCCTCAGACACCAGCCCCAGCCAGGTGGGACAATAAAAGCCACCCCTCCCCTTGCCCCACCCTGCATCCTGCCCTACCACGGAGGGGCCAGGGCCGAATGGACCACAGAGGGAGGAAGAGGGCAGAGCCTGGGGCTCCCGCAGGCAGCAGCAGAAGCCAGAGGTCCCCTTGAAGCCGTTGCCTGCCCAGGAGTCTCCCAGAGAAACTCGAGGTTCCCAGATTTCTACCCAGGGGAAGCCCTCTAGTGGGGCTCCCTGCCGCCCTGTCTCCCAGGCTCCCGCCTCCCTCACCCTCAGAGATGTACTTGAGCTTCAGGCACTGGTCCCCTCGGGCCCCCGTGAAGTCGAAGAGCTGGCAGGGTCCGCGCAGGCACCCACCGTGGGGCTGTTCATTGGCCATGGCCCACTGCAGGGCACAGGGAGTGTTGTTGAGAAAGTAGATGCGCAGCTGCAGGTGGGACTGCGCCGGCGCCAGGGGCGAGCAGAACATAGCCAGCTGCAGCCATTTGCGGGCATCCCGGCCCACCGGCGCCTCCAGCACGCAGGTGTAGAGGCTGCAGAGAAAGACGGGGACAGGGACTGGCTCAGGGGAGGCTGGGACCCCAGTGCACCTGCTTCCTGGCTCCCACGGCCCTAGGAGCCAAGGAGAGCAGTGGAGAGCAGGTATAGAGGAGAACCGGGAGGGAGTCGGGCAGGTAGGGGGACGAAATGTGAGTCAGGTCGCGGTGACCATCACCGAGTGGGGAGAAGAGCCAGAAAGCCCCCTCCGGCACAGGAGGGAGGGAAGGTAGGCTCAGGGCCACTGTGCTACAGCGGGGTCCCACACATGGCTGGCCCTGTTGCGCTCAGTGGGAAGAAGAGGCCGGGGGGCCCAAGATTCCGGAAAGACAGAGCTAAGGACAGACATGAGATGGGAGGGGTTCTTTGAGAACTGGAGGGAACAGGCTGCCCTGGGCAATTCAGGGACAGCCCTGAACAGGGGCACAGGGTAGAGACAGGTGGGGATGGGACAGACCCTTCTAGACGGAGGGCTGGGGCAGTAGGTGTAGACAGGCAGAGAGACTGCCGCAGGGTGCATAGTCTCCAGACAGGGTTGGAGGGGACAAGCTGCCCTACACACTAGGACAGAAGGACCAGGAAGGGCCACGGAGGGAGAAGGGATTTGTAGGCCATCTGGGACAGATAAGGGGCAGTTGCATACAGAAAGGTGAGGATGAGGCAGACCGAGACAATGGGCAGGAAGACCGGGCCGATGGGCCTACCTGAAGTGGTAGAGCTGGATGCGACACTCGTCCCGGGAGGTGTGGGCCCCAGGCCGCCCCAGGGGCCTCCAGGCCTTGGCATCGAGCAGGGCTGTGTTGCTGCTGTAGGTACGGGCCTGGGTGGGCTCCTGGGCACAGTGCTTGAATGTGAGGGTACAGGGCTTCAGGAAGGAGGCCCCATGGGGGCCACAGGCCACCACAGGGCTCACCAGCCCCTGGGCTCGGGACAGTGATGGGGCGTCCGACAAGTCCCACACCAGGATCAGTGACACGCGCTCTTGGCGGCCCACAGCCACAGCTCCTGGGGAGAACAAGAGTTGAGATGGGCCTGGCAGGCAGGCTCACCCCCAGCCCAGAAGGGGCCAGGCCACAGCGGGAGGGCAGGTGGGACGGGAGCCCAGGAGAGAAGGGGCCTAGCAGGGCACACGGGCAGGCAGTGCGCAAGGAGAGGAAGGCTGTGAGCTGGCTTGTGGCGTAATCCTGAGCAAGTCACCCCGTTCGTCCCGGGGCCACCACACTAGCCCGTATGGGACTGGCGGGAATTTGCAAGAGGTGTTCTTGCTCCAGGCATTTTCCTTTACTGAGAACTGTCATAACACACTGTTCATTACCACCAGGCACTTTACTTCCACCTGTCAGGGAGTTGTCATAAAAATATGCAATCTATCCATCTTTGGAGTCAATAAAGTCATACTAAAATATAAACAATTTTCAAAGTTACGGAGATGTCTACGAATGATGCTCCCTTAGGCGCGACGCCCTTGTACAACATGCAATGAAGAACTACAGGCTGAGAAGGGAGAAGGTGCTGTTACCTGGCGGGATAAGCAGGGAGATGCCCGTATTTTGGAGCATCAGGCAGCCGCCACGGTGATCCACCTCCCGAGCCGAAAACACCAACAGCTTGTGCATCAGCTGACGGACGATGGTCTGGCCTTGAGTGGGCGTGTGCAGTTCCTGGTAGAAGGCGGCCATCTCTGGCAGTGTGGCCGGCGGGCACTGCCTTGAGGACTCATTTTCTGGTAGGGGAGTGGGATGGCCTCCTAGCTCGTCTTGGCTATCCAGCTTCCAGCAGGCCCCCAGCAGCCAGCGAGGGCAGTGCCATCGAAGGCACTGGACCAGAAGGAGGGCACTTGCCACCGGGACCCCCACCAGCAGCAGCAACTGGGTGGGTTGGAAGGAACTCTCATGGGAGCACATCTGCCTGGTCACTCAATGCTGCCAGTTCCCCTGCAGCCCTGGGCCAGCCAAGGCCAAGGACCTGGAGGAGGAAAGAGGCAGGGCCAGGCAAGCCTTTTCAATGTCATGGAGGCCAAGACTTAGTTGCCAACTGGCTGCAGTGAGAGGGCAAATTGTCTTCATTCCAGGGCATACCTGATTAATACCTTTAACGAAACGTCACCTATCTTTGTGTTACTCAAGAACCTATCATGGCTCCCCATGGCCTAGTACATCACATTAAACTCCCCTGAGGCAGAAAGAGCTTGGGTTTGGAGTTAGAGGATGTAAATTCAAGTGCAACCTTGGCCACTGGCTGAGCGAGTTTGTCACATTGCTTACTGTCCCTCAGTTTCTGCATCTGTCAAAATGACCCTCTTGATCTTCATAGAGAAATCTTTAAGTGGAAAAGCAAGTTACAGAGAACTAGACATCCTCCGATCTCATTAATGTAAGTAACAGAACTATATACAAGTATAGATACATATTTATAGGTGTATATTTGTCAATCACAGAGAAAGGTCTGGAGCAGTGCTATGCAGTAAAAGTATAATGTAAGCTGGGGTGCCCGGGTGGCTCAGTCAGTTAAGCATCCAGCTTGTGATTTCGGCTCAGGTCATGATCTCACAGGTTATGAGATCGAGCCCCGGTTTGAGCTCCGTGCTCAGTGGGGAGTCTGCTTGGGATTCTCTGCCTCTCCCTCTGCTCCTTCCCCCATCACTCTTTCTCTAAAATAATTAAATAAAATCTTTACGTATATATATATGTGTGTGTGTATAATATATAAGTATATATATTTCATATATGTGTAAATATATATATTTATTATATGCAATATAATATATATAATGTAAGCCACAAATGTAATTTTAAACTTTCTAGTGGCCACAATAAAAAGGTCAAAAGAAACAGGAGGAATTAATTTTAATAATATATTTTATGTATCTAACCCAATATACTCAAAATATCACTTTGAGAGGAAATCAATATAAAATTACTGAGATGTTTTACATTCTGTTTTCATACTAAGTCTTTGACATCCGTGTGTATTTTACACTCACAGCACATGGCAGTTGGGACCTGCTCTGTTTCAAGTGCTCAGCAGCCGCCCCTGCTCGTGATTTCTGTCTGGGGCAATGCAGGTCTGAGAGGACACACCCCAAACTATTCCCACCGGTCACAACTGAAACAGACAGGAAATTGAGAGGGTGGAAGGTGTGAACTAGGACTTTCAATTTTCTTAAACGTTTTTTTCTGTATTTGAATTTTTTCACTCCAGGCGTGTATTTTATATTAACTGCGTAATTCTTTTGAAAAGCTATCAAAAGTTAAATAATAATTACCGCTCACAGTGATTGTGAGGGTGGCATGAGATCATGGGAAAAGCATTTGCCACTGATAAAGCACTGCCCAAATACGTTTCTTTATGCCCCACCTACTGCCAGAAAGGTCAGAAGGTAGCTCCCAGGGACATGTGAAATAGAAGGAGAGTACACTAAGTTAAACGTGGAAGCAAAAAGAGAAAGAAAACCAAAGGTGGGAGCCTCCAGTGAGGCTGGAAGGAGGCAGGGCAAAGGCAGCGCCAGCTGCCTGCTCACCTGGTTACCAGCGGGGGCCTCAGATTGGAACCTGGCCCTTCCAACAGCTTCCCCATACGGTTGCCAGAACTTCCTGAGGCCCTCCAGAGTCTACCGCCCTCATCCTCCCTTAATTTCCAACACCCTACACTCCTGCCAGGCTGGGGGCCTCACACCCGGCTAATTCCAGCCTCTGGCCTTTGCTCTAGCTGTTCTTCCCATCTGCCTCACCTACCCACCTGGACCCCTTCCTGCCCCTGCTCGACAGCGCCTCCCCGTGGCTCACCGGCCCTTGACACTCCCACCCCTCCGAAGTTTCTTGCCGCTGCCATCCCACCTTATGGAACAACCCTTGACTCTACGCTGTCACACGTGATTTTCCCACTCAAATGAACATTTTCTGAGCACCAGCTGTGTACCTCTCACCGTGGGAAGTTCAATCTTGACAAAGATGATGTAGCTCTCAGGAAGTTTCTGAGGGAATGTGATTCATTCGCTCTGTAGCCGAGTTCTGGGTGGCATAATATCCTCTTTCATAACCCTGGGGATCCCCGTGGTTGATTCACGAGGGTCCGCACTAGAGAGGCTTCTGACATCCGTTCCTCCCCCACTCCCTTGGCTCACACCCCGACCCAGAGCTGAGGCCTCGCCTCAAGCCTCCAGCTCTTTCCATGCCCACCTCCTTCCTTCCTTCCTCAGGGCCCACGAAACCCAAGCCCCTTTCCTTAGGTCCTCCCAGACAGGGGCAGAAACTCCTCTGTACCCTCAGGATTAAGGACTGGGGTGGGATCTATTTTCCCCCGTGTCCCCACTGAAAACGTAGACAGGGAGGAAGGTTTCGCTTTACTCCCTTTGCCTTAAAATGCACACCTTGCAGACAGGGCAGCAGCGTGCTTCAGCCAAGCCCCTTGCAGGGCAGGCAAATGAAGTGGTGAGTTGGAAAGGCCCCACATCTGGTAGGAAAGGGGGCTGGAGCAGCCAGCCTCCCTTGGTGCAGCCATTCCAAAAGGTCCTTCCACATGAAAGATAATTGGAATTATAACTGCAATTATACTGGTTATCATTTCTGGAGCTCTACTCTATGCCCACTGTGTCGGAGCACTCTGTGTGGTCCATCTCATTTGATCCTCACAGTAGCCTTGTGAGCTAGGTGTTATTTTTATCTCCATTTCCCAGATAAGGAAGCCAAGTGTTCTCCCCACCGTGGAGACGTATGGGAGGATATTAAGCTACAATTGAAGGCAGAGGGAAGGATGAACGGGGATGACGACCGTGTTTCAGAAACACTACCTTTCTCTCCCTGCCCCCCTTCCCCCCCCCACCCCCGCAGGTCTCTCTTCCTTTCCACTTCTAGAGGAAGTGAAGTTGGAAGAGAAAGAAACAAAATTAAAGTAAAAATCAACGGAAAGACCTGAAAAGGCACATCCTCGGTTCCATGGTGCGGGACGCCCCCCACCCCCTGCCCACAAAGGCCCCCGTGGCTAGCTAACATGAAAGAAAGGAGGGACTCCGCTCTGTTTTTGTAGCAACAACCTTCCTGGGGCCTCCAAAGACCAGAGTCCAAATCCCCTCCACCCCACTGGGTGGCGCAGCTGAGTCTCCCTGCCCAGGCTCCCAACCTGGAACAGTGGGCATACTGGTCCCCAAGGCCTCAAGGGGCCTCTCATGGGCAGCCCATTCATGAACTCTCCCCAGCTAGGCCCCTTTCTCCCAGGCTGACAACTCTCTGAGCTGCTTGGCCCTCACTCCATCCTCCCCTTAACCCTAGGAGAAGGAAGGGTCCTGAATCTACAGTAGGGCAACCAGATAAATGTAGCCTAGACCTTCCCAGATCCATGCCTGCCTCCTTACTACCCATGGCTCCAGTCTGCCTTGCCCCGACCCCAGATTATCCCAGGTAGCAGGTCCCCCAAGACAACGGTCCTTTAGAATGCTGCTATCACCTGTCCCTCGGGAGTTGCCTCCTCCAGCACAAAGATCTGGATTCCTGCTGCAACTCTCTGCTCATGTCCTTTGAGGCAACTCTCAACCCTTCTCCCACATCACTGGTTCTTACCAAGCCTACTCAAACCCTGCTAGCTCATTACTGAAACACACAAAAAGTACCAGGATGGATGAGCCCAAACCTGCCATGGGCAGCGTTCATCAGCATAGTCTACATTTCCATAGTTCATACAACTGTCTCCCAGGTCCTCACACCCACTGGGCACTTGCCCTCTGCCATCTCCTCCTCCAGCAGAGGCTCTCCACACTCTGGTTAAGCTGGCCTGGCTCCTCCCCTGAGCCCCAAGTGGCTCCCTTGCAATGCCCACCCCACCCCCAGCTGCCCCAGGGGGTGCTCACCTTACCAAGTAGGTGCTCCCAGAGGTTGCCGGCTTTGTCCAGGAACAGCAGTTCCTTCTCTGAGAAACAGAGAGGTCAGCCAGACCTGGTCGCCAGGCCAGCAGACAAGTGGAGGTGGGCGGGGAATCTGGGCAGGAGTGGCCCAGAGCTTCCCGGCAATGACCTGCCTCCCAGCGCCCTCAGAAGGGGTGGGGGAGTCTGTCCCTGTCTATTGGCAAAGTCCAGCCAAGGCGTGGGAGTAGCTGAGGATCCCAGAAGTCAGTGGACTCACCAGTCTGGGTCTGGAAGGGAGGGGACAGAGAAAGAGAAAACCTGGGTACAGGTGAACCCCTCCCTACAATGCCCTCTGCTGGTGAGTGGCTGCCCCAGCCAGAGGCTAGGGAAAGGGCAGAAGGTAAGAGGAGGGGGCCCTACCAGGAGCTTCTCAAAGGACCGCGTGCACACAAACCCGAGGGATAGGGTGAAAACGGGGGTTCTGATCCCACAGGTCTGAGCTGGGGCCTGAGATTCTGCATCTCTAAGAAGCTCCCAGCTGACGCCAAGGCAGCTGGTCCAGGAGCTCAGACAATGCCTAGCCGCACCCCTTCCCGCACAGAGATGAGAGGAGGCACCGGGAGGGTTAACGACTCACAAGGTGCTGGCAGCATCGGGGTGTTCCCCTATCTGCTCCCTGCCCGCACTCAGAGTTGGCAGGAACCCTGCACTTGGGGGAGAGCAGACTTTGGGCTGTTTGCCAGCCCGAGTCCTTTCATAGAAATTCTGCCTCGGAAAGATAGTGCCAGTGGAATGAAAGATCCCTGCAGAGATGGATTTTTTTTTTCAGCTGTTTGCTGTTGTACTCTTAGCTCCTGGTACAGCCTGGTCCATGGCAGGTATCGAATAAAGACTGTTGTTGAATGAATGCGTGGGCCCACTCAGAGAAAAGAGGGTATGTTTTGGATCCCAGACTACGGACACTGAACACAGGCGACTCCTCTATTGGCTGTGTACTCTTGGGCGAGTTACTCGACCTCTCTGAGCCTCCCTTCCCTTGTCTGACGAATGCAGGCAATACGATCCACCACGTGAGGGAGAAGCATGGTCAGTATTGAGCTAACAATCGTGAAATGCTCGCCACAAAATAGATGCCCAGTAAGTGGTAACCGTCGTCATGGCGGGCACCACGGGCTGGCCTCCTGCAGGCAAGGACCACGGGGATCTCCCCAGCCCCCCAGGTAGCATCTCATAGAAAATAAGTAACTGCCACTGCTTTCACCCCAGTTAATGATTGCCCAGCCTCTTATCCCTGACTGCAACGCTCCCCCCCGCCCCCCACTGCCTTCCCCAGGGTAGAGGCCAGAGGATGGGATAAACACCTCCCAGGGGTGCCTGGGTCCCCAAAGTGGAGAGATGGGGCAAAGGAACTATGGAGAACCGCCAACCTGGGAAGGGGACCTCATGAGTAAAGGACGAGCAAGGAGGAGGTGCTCAGAACTTTTATAGGGACGAAAAGGGCGGGTGTTAGTCTTTGCTGGACAAGGCTCTGTCTGAGTCACACAGGAGCCTGCTTTCTCCTCTGAGTCATGAAGTTAGAGGGGTTTGTGAAAATCTGTCAAGCTCGAGTTCCAAGCCGGGAAGGAGCATGCCAACTAGACTATAAACCAGAGGCTGCGTCCAGGTAGCGTGAACTCATTTCCAAGCTGCTGGTGCTTGCCTCACTTGGGGATAATCCCAGTTACAGGAAGGTCCTGAGGAAATCTGAAGGTCCCCACCACCCCTGTGGACATAAAGCCAGTTCACGGGATGTGGAGACCACAGGCTTCGGTAGGCTTGCAGCCTGGGGCTGAGCTGGTCCAGGGGATCAGGCTCTTACAGAGCCAAAGCCTCAGCCGTTCCATCAAGGGGCCTCCTCCAGAGGCCAGGTCTAGCAGAACAGGGGGACCTCTCCTAAAAGGGCTATGTAGACATGCCAGTGCCACCACCCTTGTCATTGGAGAAAGACAGGCCAGATGGGAGCCTCACTCCGCCCTTCTCCCATCCCCCACCCTCCTCTGCTTTGCACACAACGGATATCATCGGGCACTCGGCCTGGGAGGTATGCTGCCTGAGGTAAGGGAACTCAGGTCTGGGAATAAGGAGGCAGCAGCAGGAGGGTGGAGAACAGGAGAAAAGAGGACAGGGGGGTGCGGGAGGAGCCTCCAACACTGGGCATAAAAACAGAAAGAGAGAGAGAGACAAGAAGGCAGTGATGAACGGATGGACAGTGAGGAGCAGAGAAATCGAGAGATGAACAGGCAAGCAGGCCAGTCAGCCCTGTCCCTGGAACCTCCAGGACGTGGACAGGGGTCGCTGACAGGAAAGGATGGAGTAGGCAGTCACTCCAGGACACTGAGAATCACCACATCTGTCTTCCTTGCCATCCTGGCAGTCATGGGGAGGAGGCTGAAATATCATGCGCAAATGAGAACGATATGCGGTGGGGGGCCTTGGCTGGAAGAGGGTCTGTGCCTTGTTCCACATGCCGGTGATGTCCAAGGCAACGTGCAAATGAGTGTGGCAACTTTTTAATCAAAGACCAGGCAGTTGCTTCCTTGAGAAGTCAGTCCGAAAGAAAGCTGAGCACTTGTGTTGGTGGCTCGGACTCTCTGGAAGTGGAGGGGTGTAGGAGGGACCTCCCCAGGCCCTGAGGGACAGGCGAGACCTAAGGCCTCAGAGAAAGGAGCCCAGTGTCACTCAGCTAAGTTCGAATTTGGGCAGCAGCTCAGGCTGGGTGGGCCTCTTGGGTCTGCCAGTCTGGTGTGTCGAGATAAGCCTGGGGGCAGATGGGCTGCCCCATTCTTGACTAGAGAAGACCCCCAGGGAATCTCTGGCCCCGGCCTTTCTGAACGTGGTCCTTCTAGGTGGGTTAGATCAGCTTGGCTGAGTTCAGCATAAGGCAGCGTCCCTGTCAAGGGCCTGCTATGTACCTGACCAAGTGCAACCCACTATGGGAGGCAGAAAAGACAATCATACCTAGACCTGAACTCTAGGAGTCAGATACACGATGGGGGAAGGAGGCTTGCACTCAGAAGCAATTATAAATACTGGACAGTATCTTCTGAGTGCCAAGTGGGTGGTGTGGAGAAAATAAGTCCATGGAAGCCAGAGAAAGGGCAAGGCAGTGTGAGCTCACAGGATGGGAGCTGGCCCATGGTGGGGAGAATGGCATCTCTTACCAGACCTCCCATGAGGGACTCAGGCCAGGGAACTGTGTCAGGTAGGAGGTGGAGACAGTCAAGCAGGTACAGGGAAAGGACTAAGAGGGAGGCCCACCACCATCGTGTTGTCTGCCTTCCAAGATTTTGCCTCTGTGAGGGGAATGCAGCCTCAAGGCACCATCTTTTTGGCCCTTCCCCACCTGGGGCCCATCCTGCTCTGGCTGCTCACCCGTCATCGGATGTCTGGTTGGTACGACAACCCAAAGAAACCGCCCTGGTGCCCACCTCACAAAGTCTTGTTGGCAGGATGGATCACCATCTACTTTGTCATGGGGTGAGCACCCATTTCTCATACCATGGCCCTGGTACCTGCTAGGGTGGGAACGAGGCCCCCCGTACCTGAACTACTGCTGCATGCTGACCTCCGAAGGGATGGCACGCCATCTTGCCTCTTATGGTGGGTCCCCTCTGTGCTGCCTAGAATTCCAGCCAGCCACGTTGCTCCCCCTCTCCAAGTTTCCCCATTGCCTCCCACCACCTCCCCGCTGGCCCTCAAGTGATGCTTAGACACTCTTGCTCCCATTTCAGCCCACACGGCTTCCTTTAGGTAACCAAGAGTCCTTATGCCAGAGGACTTCCTTCATTTGCCATGAAACAGCCTCCCTCTGAGTGTTCTGCCACCATCTCTCCACAGCTATGCCTCCTACCTGGTGTGGAAGAACCTGGGAGGGGGCTTTGGGTGGCCCCTGGCCCTGCCTCTCGGCCTCTATGCTGTGCAGCTCG